ACGAATGGGGAATTGGAAAGGATTTGGAAGGAAGCGTTCATGACCTAATAGACGTATTAACCCGGGGGATATGCCTTGAGGGCCTGAGGAAAATCACGAATATCCCGGTAGCGATTCGAACCGAGCACCTCACAAGTACACGTCTACAGCGTTACCGCTCGGTGGGCCAGGTCTTCAGCCTGGGACCGCCACATATGAAGCAAGGTTAATCATTGAACAGAAATTCGTGTGGTTCTCGCGCAACTCTCGCTAAGGCCATAAAATAGGCTGTTGGGCCTATTTTGACGAGCCTGTGACATAACCTGACAAACAGTTCGGGGTCATTGATCGTATTGTCCGCATTTTTAGAGTTGGCTTTTCTCACCAGAAACCCCAGTCCGCTACCTGTTACATGGATTGTAGGGTGTTAATGGGTTAGTCAAGACCTTGCGAGTGCGTCACCCTCCCTCCCTCCCTCCCACTCACGACCTAGTTTCGACAAGAACCCTGCCACATCCTTCCGTATTTATCGTGTACATGTCAGAAGTCAGATCTGAAAACACGACCACTATGTATCCCAAAGAAATACGATGTCAGGATGTGGATTGGACTTATCTGGCTCAGGCCTATAAAATTTTTAATATCTTGACATAGGACATATTTTCACCTGCGATTTACCTTGGAAACGAAATATATTGTTTCTCGAAGATCATTGTTGGTTGCTCAATGCCGAACAAAAACTAAATCCGTGTGACTGTTAATGTTCGTTTGGAGGAAATGATCATTTTGTGTTCTGGATCCTAGTGCCCGTATTGTTATATTGAACCGTACTGAACCTCTCCAAGGGAGGTCATCTGTTATCATACTAAATTTGGTCGAAATACGTGCAAACCAATGGAAACGCATAAAGAACTAAACACAGACGATTCTCAGAACTACTGGGTTTTTGGAGTTTTTCCATCGTCCGTAATTCTAGGTAATAGAGGACACAACGTTTCGGAAACTGGATCTGTTTCCGTCTTCAGGTGAGAAAGGAAGACACCTATTCAGTAGGTGTCGTAGGTAGGTAGACGGAAACAGATCCAGTTTCCGAAACGTCGTGTCCTGTATTACTTAGAATTCCGGACGATGGAAAAAGTCCAAAACCCAGTAACTCTGTGTCATCCACCACAGTCAGAAGCCTTTGGAATCTACAGCTGAGTCTCTTTATACAGAATATAGTGAATATTTTCTTCTTAAGGGGGACTTAACCCCCCCCCCCAAATGGTTCAGAAGTTTGAATGGGAGGGAACCAGCGGAATTGCCCACACAGTGCAGTGACACTGAGGACCGCTGAAGACCTCGAAGCAGAGCGCACCAGATTGCAACGCTCTGTCAATGAATGTAATGGTAACGTATTACACAGCGTAGCGAGCGTAATGGAACGCCCACGCTGCGAATTTAAATTCCCCGTTGAACTTTGGGTCTTTGGGCTGTTAATCAACAAGTGTGGGCGAACCGTCTGCGTTGGCTCACTGGATACAAAGTGCTTCACTTCCTCTCTTTATGAAAGGTTCATTCATTAATGCTTTGCTGTTAGTACATCCCGGTTGAAAAATACTGACTTGTATCACTCCGCGTGTATCTACACAATAAAATATAGAGCATTAACGGTTCGTATAAAAGGTCAAATATTCTTGGAATTTTCCTGGGGTAAAAAGCGCGGCCGGCGGGTAGGGCTGACAACCTTACCGCCATCTTTGAGCCGACTGTCCAGATAATGTGGGAACCGCAACCTCTCACAACCCTATGGGCCTCCACGGCCTGTCACAGGAATAGCTTTTCTATAATTCTTTTTATAAAAGGTAAAGTTGGCCGGTCACGGTAGCCGAGCGGTCTAAGGCATGTACTGTCTTCGCTCGCTTGGAAACCGGGATCGTGGGTTCGAATCCCACTCAGGGTATGGATGTTTAGTTTGTGTGTGTACGTTTTTCTGTGTTTGTGTACAGGTAGTGGCCTTGCGACGAGCTGATCACCCGCCCAAGGAGTCCTACCGAATGTGTAAGGTCTAGAAAAACCGAAGTGAACGGAGAAGTTCATGGAGGTAGGCCTAGGCCCACTGGGGCTGTAGTGCCAAGGGGGGGGGAAAGGTAAAATTGTCCCTGTGCTTAGTTAATTAGGCTCTATGCTGTGAAGACGTATGGGGAAGTGAATGTATAGATCCACATTCTCGTGACCTTGGCACTAGTTGGAGGTGAGTTTCCAGCTTCATGCCCCGGCTGCTTTACGCCGGGGGAAAGAGCCCCAGGTACCCATTGGATAGGAGGTTGAATGGACCACAGAGCAGGCCTAGACGTGGAGAAGAGAAAATACTTGACCCTACCGGGACTCGAACTCCGACCCCTCTGTTGTCCAGCCAGTCGCTATACCGACTGAGCTCTTATTAACGGTTCATATGCAACTACAAATTATCTATAGAAGCTGCTGAAACCGGCGAACCCACTCACAGGAATGGGCAATAGTTGCAGAGAGGTGTCGTGGTCACCGTTGGTTGGTTCTTTAACGACGCTAGAAATATCTTGTCTATGTAGCGTCAAATGGAAGGATGGTGCACGAAAAATGAATTTGAAAAAGTGTGGAAGGAAGCCGCTGCACTGTAGGAACTGAGAAAAGCCACGACAAACTTCAGCCTGGGTAACTGGTGTCCCGCACGGGAACCGAACCGAGTACCTCCCGAATACGAATATATGTCTGTTACCACTATACCAGCCTGATCAATCCCAAGTGGTCACAGTCTGGTTTATTTTTTTTTATTTAACGACGCTGTCTGTACTGCAAGACCGCCTCTGTGGTCTAGTGGTCAGAGTTCCTGGCTACAGATCCAGAGGTTCCGAGGTTCGATTCCCGGCGCTACCAGATTTTCTGGGAAGTGGGTCTGGAACGGGGTCCACTCAGCCTCGTGAGGATAACTGAGGAGCTATTTCAAGATAACAGCGGCTCCGGTCTAGAAAACCGAAATTAACGGCCGTGGGGATTCATTGCGCTGACCACGTTACACCCTCTATCCGCTAAAATTGGCGCTAACTTCGCCGACAAGCGGCGGTCGCTAGGACGGTACAGTTCGCTTGCGGACTACAGACCACGGAGTTTGTTGCATATTTTCTCTGTGGTTATTTGCTTCGCGTTTATCCCCTGTAAGCAGCTGTCCTAACAGAGCCGTCAAGCGGCGCCTCTACCGGCGTTCCAGCGAACTCGTTGCAACTGTCGAGGTGCGGAAATACGACTAGGCGTTTACATACATAGAATATAATCCCATAACAAACATAGGGCCACAAATACACACAATTATTAGTGAAAAGAACAACGCCTTAAGAATTATAGGTAAATGAAGGTAGAGATCCACGCATTTTTAATCTCGGCCGGTGAGTGAGTAGCTCAAATATTCCGGCTACCTTACAACCGAGAAGAGAATGTGTGGACATCAGATCCAGTCCGGGTGCTGAGGAGAAAGGAAACATTTCTTGCCGCTCCTGGAACCGAAGGCATTAGACGTTATCTGGAGAGGCTGGATTATGTCACGGAAACCCTCAGACACAAACCGGAGGCTCCCGAAGAGGAAGGTGAAATAATCACCAGTACTCCAGCATGTTCTGCTTATGCATATGGAAAGATAACCCCAATCCCTTAACCCTTCACTTCTACCCAATTTGACCACCTTAATAAACCTACATGTTCCTTATGAATCTGGAATCCAAACCAATACGATGAAGTCTATATGGCTCACTCGATATAGTAGCTAGACTACGGGCTGAAGTACTCAGGAATCGGGGTTCGATTCTTGACAAGGGAAAGAGATTGTTCTATTCTACATTGCTTCCTGACCATCCCTGGGATCTCTCTTATCTTCCCTCCCACGAGGGGCTCTTTCCTAGAGGGTAAAGTGGCAGGGTTGTGAAACTGACACACTCAATTGCATAGTGTCAAGAATGCATGGAGCCGTAACTCCACTCCCCCATATGCCTTCGCGGTGTGTTTAATTTAACCCAGGGGCAACTTATGACAATGTGAGGGGTTAGTTTCAGAAAACTATCGACACAGGCGTTCTTTCCGGTAGTCCTCTGTTAATGTTAAACTTAGTTAAACTTCTATACATACAAAATGACATGCTTCTTCTTAAGACATGTACCTGAATATTTCCATGCACTATTTGCAACATATATAGTACATGAACGCATAATCGGGAGGTTATCCGTCCGCATATATCATCTCCGTAACCACTCATTCGCTTCGAAATAAATTTCACACAGTGTCAAAGCGGTAAGTAATCAGGCGAAACAACTCGGGCCCCATATAAACCCTACCTGTCGCAGGTCAAATGGAACCTCAGGATAGAACAAGTTTGGTCGGATGAAAAATCTTCTGACCTTCATACGGCAGGTGCCCGGTTATAAAACTGGCTAGAACACAGGCTAGACTGTTTCTGTGGTTTCCTCAGTCACTGAAAGTAATCAGCGACAGCTTTCTTTTGCGTCAGTTTCAGTTCACTGTCGTCCATGCATTCGAGTTACTGACAATCAGGAGAATGAAAACCGAGGTTTGGAAGCACACGATGAAGATAATAAAGAAACAGGACATGAGGATTCGAATTGGTCCAGAATTGAAACTTGCGAAACTTCGGATTCGACAAAATTCCGACCATTTTTAGAGTAGGTGAGCAACTAATCACTTCTCAACAAAGACATCGCCCCATTTACCTCACTTAACCTCATTTTACATGCAATGACATATCTTTTTTAAGGGAGAGGATATCGATATTGAAATATCACAAAACTGGTGAAATGTTGGAGGTACAGCTCCACGCATTCTTAACCTAGGCACCAGATGGAGATGAATGATAACTTTATGCTCCGGCTGCTATAACGACCGGTACCCATGGGATATGGAGTTGGATTGACGACAAAACGGTCTGAACGCTGTGGAGTACAGACATTTCGCGAAGTACAAATTAAATAAAGAAGGATAAAAACTGTTGATAGTCATACCTGGTACTCATTTTCTTTTTCAGTCCACAGTGCTCATGATAAGGGCTGATAAATGTCTCTGATGTTTCGCTGCTTTTTGTTCCACATACGCCACTTAACTTATTGTTTATATAAAATGTTATTGTTTATCAGTTAATACCACTGTGACGTCACAAGTAAACTGAAGTGCGTTTAATTTAAAATAAATACCGCCACTTCGCTTAACACACAAGTATATAAATAACTTAAATCTGTACAAAATTTTGCTTCAGTAAGCGACATAACCTAACAAATTCTGACGCTGACATTTTGTAATTACTATTGAACACAATTCGGCACAAGTTGTACTCTGATACAGATATATATGTATGTATAAAATATCACTGCTTATGTTTACATAACATGAAGCACACTGGTTATGTATGATTTGCCGCCACGTGGTTAGTTCGCCGGCTTGCTACATGAAAATGGCGCGAAGAACCACTTCCTATGACCGCGCAAATGCTACTGAAACGTGGCTCAGTGTCTACCCTCTATAGAGACAACAGTGAGAAGAGAGGGAGAGAGAGTTAGACGGCAAGCGAGAGAGTCAGGACTCGCCGACAACTCCCGACCGACCTGCAAGTCAAGCCCCCTCAGCTCTGCTGTGACAGACTGAAGTAATCCTCACCTCTGACCATGCTACTTCATTCAAATGGGTACATAAGTTCGCACGCGTTACACAGAACGAATGGCCAACGGCGCAAAATGCGGCCGTCTGCACAACAATGATATCCACAGAATGAAGACCAAAATAGATACTAAAGTATCATCATGCACAGGCGTTGCGATACATGTTTCGACTTTTCCTAGGTCGTCATCAGGCGAGTCACAAGAATTGAATTGGGTTAATTTAGTATGGGCCCAAATTTTACAAGTTTACAATTTTTACAATATTTTTACCGAGGGATTTGAGTTTGAGTCCGGGTAGGGTCAATCATGTTCCCTTCTCCATGTCTAGGGAGCCCACCCAGTCTCCTATCCAAAGGGTACCGGGGGCTCTTTCTCTGGGAACAAAGCCGGATATATAGAGTTACAGGGCGATAGTGAGTTACACTGTATTAACGCAGAGGGGCGTACTGTACTGGACAACCTCTTTCATTTAAATCCACATGTCATTAACTATCGCTGTTTATTTTATTGTGAATTTGTCAAATTAAAAGTCAACACATTTCCCCCAACGCATGAGCAATATAAACACACAGATTACGTAACATGTCCCCCCCCCACAGAACACGAGAACTGTGTTTCAGGTTCAAGCTATAAGCCGAATATAAAAAATTAATTTCGGTCTTTTCTGATTTGCATTCGGGAGGTGCCCAGAACCGATCTTGCCCTGGGACTGAGGTATCTCCTTATTCCTCAGTTGCTCCAGGCAAGGAACATCACAGTATATTATATTAAGCCACGACCACTTCCATCCAGATCATTTTCTGTTTACTACTCGTTAGTCTCCTGCCTTTAATATAACATAATTTGATGGGCCTATCGTGTCGTTGATAAATAGATAGAGTTAATCCTTAAAACATGAATACTGCACACATTTGATAGGAGTACTTGAACAAAGGACATCGTTTCAATTGACCTAATCCTTCCAGCTGCACTATGGCTACCTAAGGTCGACTAGTGGGTGGGACTAAGTTCCTTGTACTGCGGCCACTTCTGGCCTATTGTACCAGCCCCAGATGATAGGTGAGTGTGATTGTGGAGCAGTTGGTGGAATGAAGATTGACAGGGGAAACCGAAGTACTCGGAGAAAACCTGCCCCAGCGCCACTCTGTCCACCACAAATCCCACTTGAACAGACTCGGGATCGAACCCTGGCCGCCACGGTGGGAAGCCAGCGACAAACCGCTTGAAATATGGCGCGGCCCAACTCAGCCTCTAACAGAAATGAGTACCAGGAAAACGTGGAGGCCTCGACGTCTCACAACCGTGTGGGTCTCCATAGCCTGTTACAGGGATAGCTTTTATCAACAGTAACAATTAAAATATTTTTAAACCATTCTTCTATACCTGAACACCGTAGCGTGATCATTCATAGGTCAGCTTAAACATGAGTTTGTAAGAAAATTATCGAGTTGTCCCCCTCTGGGAAGCTGGTTGCTCCCCCTACTGGAAAATATTGTGGCGGTTCCCATTGTTGGAGGATGGCGTTAAGATGATCAGTTGGTATTAGTGATGATTGAGGGTGCTTGGAAATGGCTCAGGATCGTGTCTAATGCCCGGGGTTTGGTTATTTACAGTGTTAAGCCTCCAGGCTCTGCTACTGAACATGCTGAGTCTCTAAGACAAATTAATGGAGCGTAAAGCCTGCCGAAATGTCCCGCAAGACGCTCCTTCTTGTATAGTTCGTCCTTATTGCCCGTTCGTCTGCAAGTGCGTGCGTAGCCTGGCCTTCTTCGCGTCAGCAAGTTACGGACTGGTTTGCACTCCACTATCATCTAGTATATCATCTAACAGGCGAACCAAGCCGTAAACAGTTGAGGAGTGAGTCAGCATTAACACAGTCCAGATTAACACGTGATAGTACTAACACAATGCAGATTAACAAGTAACAATGCTAACACAATAAAACTTGTCACTTGAGAGTATTGATACATATTGTCACGTGATGAAGTAACTATAGAAGGGTTTTGGATTGGTGACCGGGTTTATTGAACTGATACAGCGTGTGGCTACAATTTACAGTTCACTGTTACACACACATATACACTTGTGTCCACAGTCACGGCTTCATTAGCTGTTGCCTGGTAGCGGCTCTCAATGGCGGGCGTTCCCCTTCCTCTTGGTTCCCGAACTGTCACCGTGCCTCAGTTATCAGATTCTAACAGCAACAGCTCATAAGCACTGAACCTCGGTGGTTCTCTAACTCAATCACTCATTAACCATCTCACTAACCGACTAACTCATCCCCTAGCTTGTCCTGCTTATTACATCTCAGCACGGACCGCACAGAGAACATCATTCCTCTGTTGCTCTTTACGGACCGCTGCCTAGTAATGACCGTTGCATAGTTGCTTATTTCGAAGCCGTTGCCTAACAACGGGTCTACATGCCACACTATTAACGCGTCAGATTACTAACAAATTACAGATTATCGTGTGAGCGATATCACTTCAGACTCCTGTACGGGAAGTTCCTGGTTCGAATCTTGGTCTAAACACCGCATGTTCGGAATGAAGTTCTTCGTGGAGCTCTTCACGTTAACGAAGTTGCATGGGCATACAGGGCATTTCTAGGCATTATTCGATCTCTGTACACGAGACAAAGTGTTTCTATAGGTAGAGGCCGCCGATTACAGTGGCCGCGCCATCTACGGCATGAACTATCTTCGTCCGCTCGGAAACTGGGATAGTGGGTTCGAATTCTACTCGAGGCATTGATGTCTATCTGCGTTTATTCTGTATTTATACTGTCCTGTGTGCAGGTAGCGTCCTTGTGACGGGCTGATCCCTCGTCTAAGGAGTCCTACAGACTGTGTAAAATATCAAGGAACTGAAAAAGTAGCCAAGGGCCAACAAAGGGCTGTAGAGCCATAGACAGATAGATAGACAGATAGATAGATAGATAGCGGCCTTGTGACGGGCTGATCCCCCTTCCAAGGAGTCCTACCGACTGTCTAAGATTCAGAAACTGAAGTGAAACGAAGGGTTTCGCGGATGGCCTATGCTCCAAGTGGGAGTAACAGGAAAGAGAGTGACATACACATACAAGAAGGAAACGTACATGAACAGGTGGATCACGTGCTCTTAGCCTAAGCTTATTGGTTATAGGTTTTTCTTTACCACAGACGCACCTCCGAATATTGCTGTATTTTGGAGGTTCTGGGTTCCAATCTCGGCAGAGAGAGACAAGCAATTTTGACTGTCTCCTAGATTTCTTACTTCCTGCAGACATGTGACGCAATAGTCCCTTTAATTAGGCCACGACCACTTCTTCTTCTTCTTCTGGCTCCGAATTCAGATCAGGTCATATGGGATTTATGGTCGACTAAGTGGCACTGAGCTGGGTTTTTTTTCCAAGTACTTCGGTTTCCCCTGCTAATTCTCATTCCATTAAATGTGACACATCCATTAATCATCATCGACGCTAGAGACTGACAGCGTCGTTAAGTAACTAACATAACTGATGGGTGAACTATACAGTGGCCCTGTACAGTATTAGGTCTAGTCTCGCATAAATATTTATAGATTTTCTTCCACTTGTGTCACTCTTGCACAGATGTATGCGTGACGTTACTCGCGAGGACCACACACACAGATCGGTGTGTTAGCTGCCTCTGATTGCGCAGGCGCGAGGAACCAATAGTGATGCACTGCATTACCGCTATTTATTGAACAATAATTCATGTCGCCATGTTGGTAATACACGGTTTCCGTGGACACTTGGTAGTGTACGCACTGAGACTTCTCTCGGCGGATGGCATGTATCATGAATTTTATATTCCATAAATGTTTTCTTATATCACTGGTCCCTCCCTTTACGAGTATATTCTCAGTATAGAAACGTACCTCAGGAAGCATTTGTCATGCTTCAGCTTGCGTGCATGTAGCTGTAAATGGTTGAATCATCTTTTGCTTGTTCTCCTAAGTGACCGTCTTCTATTACATTTTCCTACTGACATCATGAAATTTGTGTGAAACATCTCCGAAGGCAAGTCACAGCCAGAGCAGGCAACCTCACGGAAGAAAATTCCCTGTGTTCACCGAGAATTTCGGTATGGTGATTTCGGTTAATATCTTAGGTTGAAAAGAGAATGTAGTAACTTTTTGGTGATAACGTGATGATCCACTTCACTATCTGGTGATATATTGACAGCTGTCCTTCATATCTCGAGGCCCTTCCTACGAAATGTAACCTTATTATTATTATTATTATTATTGGAGGGGGTGGGTTTCCCCATGCACCGCGACTAATAGTCTATTGTACGTCCCCCTTTGATATTCTACCAGTCGCCATACCCTACCGGTACTGGTGCGTCCTATCAGCCCCGTTCAGCCAACGAGGTCAGCTCTCGGTACCTGATACTTCCCCTATCTACCAGAGGCATTGGAAACTACTGGGCGGGAAACTTGCCTAATTTTCCTCAGAGGTCTCCTAGAGACATGAGGATCTTTTACGTGCCGTAAAGCTACGACACGGGACCCACGGCTTAAAGTACCTCCCGGAGGACTTGTTCCCTGAATTTTTCCGCCCTTAAAAATTCCACGACCTCCGCCGGGTTTGAACCCGCGTACCTTGAGTCATGAGGTGGGAACGTTACCCCTAGACTACGGAGGCTGCTAAATGCAACCTTAGGACGCGATATACCGCGACGAACCTGCGGGTTCCGTAAAATTCTAGTAATTTCTTGAGAGGCAAAGCAAATGTTAGTTTTCTCAAGAAGGAATCCGTTCCGTGCAGCTAGTTAGTTAGTTATGAGACTTGCAACAACTGCACGTGCTTCACCTTACGGGACCCAAATTTATTTTGTGCGTTATTTTCTGACGCCTAAAATATCGAGACG